GCTAAGATTTATTTATATAAATTGTGCAAAAGTAACTAACATTCCCTGACGTTATGGAGTTTAAAAAAGAAAGATATACAAGTGGGTGAATTAAAAGATGAAACGGTAGACCAGATGTTCTACAGCTTGCACTGTCTCCATTCATGTTTCCGGATTTTAGCGACCTCATTTTATTCTTTATCTTATTATTTTTAACAAAACAACAGTTTACTTTTAAAACTAAAATCTTTAATCTTTTAAAAAAAACACTTCTCAATGTGATTATGTTTTAAAAAATATAAACGGCTTATATTAACTAATATGAACTAATTGGCCACAGGGTGTGATAGTAATGCAGTCCGTATTTTATTTTTGAAGGCACAAATCCTTTAAATCTGTATCCGAGAAATGAGAAAAATAAGTTCGCTTCTTCCCCTTTACTTTTTATTATTATTATTAATATAATTAATAAACAGACAGCTCAGTTATATAAAAAAAGAAACATAACTCAGAGCACATTTCTTGTCTGTCGGTGTCACGGTGAAGGTCAGAGGTCACTGTAATTTGCAGCCTGTTCGGGTTCACGGGGTGCGAGCCACAGTGCGCGCTCACGCGGCTGCTAATGGATAATATTAAGGTCGAGTGCGCGCGCCCGGCAGCAGCTGGTTGTCAATAAATAAAAACATGAAATAAACAAAACAACAGTTAAACTGAGAGAGAAATGAACTGCAGTCAGATCAGATTTAGAGTTTTTAAATTCATTAAAAATGAGATTTTTTGCAGATAAACTGATTTTTTTAATCATTTAGTGAAAATGGCCACATTAAGCATTGATTAGCCTACAGAAGCATCGAACATTAACTAAATGAAGCCATAAAAACCGTAAATACCTCCGGTTGGAGCACGTGGTTGTTTCCAGGTGTACACGTCACCTGACGCTGAACACCAGAACCAGAGTTTATTATTCGCATTAATAAAACCTAATAATTGTTATTCTGCTTGTACGGAGGCCGGAAGGGGTTACATTGTATTATATAAAACGGAAGCTGAAGTTTACCTGCTCTCCTGCGTGACGTCATCTAATGTGGCTCGTTACCACGCGCATGTTTTCCCCCTTTTCTGACTGAATGAAAAACCAATTGAAAAAATCTAGAAGAAGAAAATAAAATAAAAGGAGAAAATGAAAACTGTTGATGTTTTAACGAGAGATTTGAAATTAAAGGAGAATATTTTACACTTTAAAATCAGTTTACTGCTCAGCCTGTAAAAACAGTTAACATATAAAAATATAATGTCTTCTGTGGAAAAATAATCTGAATTATTTCATAAAACATTAAATCTGTTAGAATAGTTTTTTTTATACTAGGGGCTAAAAATCTGTTGCTGCTTCAATTATCAACATAAATAAAATAAAAAACCCCCCCAAACTAAAGAGCGTGAAGAATTACAGCAAAAAGAAATGGCTAATTATTGTATTTTCTGCCTTAATTCTGACAAATGTTTCTGTTTTATTGTGAATTTACAGTCTTTACTCAGCAACATCACAGATGTAAGATGTGCTGACTCATGATCCATGACATATCTAATATCTCTACAAATCAACACAAAACAACCTGAATGGAATCAGAAATTAACTAATTAATGTTCAGTTTTTCAGGTTTAATGTGATTTTCTTTTAACGTGTGAGGGGACGAGGTCTACATTTGGGGACTTGAACCTGCGGTGTGAACAGATACAGCCGTGTGTGTGTGACTCTAATGAATTTTTTTGCAAATTGTAATCAACTCGAGCCGTCGTGGTCGGCTGATAAATGAGACCCGGGGGGATCGGCCCTGGCCTCGGCTCTTCACCGCAGTTTGCAGCCTCCCTCCTCCTCCTCCTCCTCCTCCTCCTCCCTGAATTAACAGCAACCTGCCCGGGCTTCTGATGAACTCCTGATTAATCCTGACGGCGCCACGAAGCTGCAGCAAAGTGTGTGTCGTTGTCTTCTTCTGTGGTGGTTACTTCTGCTGTCAAGAAGGGAAATCTCAGAATTCTGCATTTTTAAAGAATATTAAAAAGGGCAAAATCACTCTGCATCCTGTCACTGAGCACTGCATCAGTCTGGACGGGGACATTTGTTGAGTGTCATTCCCTTCACCATGATTTACTGTCAACTCTCTATTGGAAAAAAAGAGAAAAAAAGGCCCCAAAAATCTTCAAAATCCTAAAACAAAATCATCCAAAATCAGAAGAGAAGGAGGAAATTCTCTCATTCAGAACTCCATTTAAAAAAACAAAAATTTTAGATTTTTTATCAACTTTAAAAGTTAAAGGTCAGGACCAGTAAGTGGACCTCCAGTTGTTCTGGAAAAGATTACTGAAGTGGATGTGTAACAAATTATTACATTTCTGACAGGAATAAAAATACTGATACGTCTTTAGCTCGATATAACAGCAGATTTTTATTCCCGACTTTGTGCAGGAACTTCCTGTGTGGACTGAAGCAGCTCCATCTGCCGCACCACACCACAACACACCACACACAGGCTGCCCCACAAACTGCAAATGAAATGAAACTGCACGCACACGTGCACACACACACGCACACACACACACACACACACACACACACACAGTCCCTTCCTGTTAAACACGGGGCTAAAGAGGGATTAGCAGGGTATTATCTAATTACCAGACAACAGCAAACACAAGCCACACACACTTCACTTCACAGTCGACTGAAAAAAAGAACTTTCACTATAAATGAACATAATTTGGTGCTTACCTCGGAGTAAAAAGCACCAAAACGTCTGTATTACTTGTAAATAAAAACAATTTAACAGATACAGAAATGTCACAAATACAAGATAAAGATTTTTATTATGCCATGCTTTATAGTTATGGTGAATTAAATGTGATTAAACCCAATTAAAGCAGAAATTGAGCCACTGGTTCTAAAAATAAAATGTTCCTGACGTTTAAAAAGAAAAGACCACGAACACGTGAGGTTATATTAAGAAGCATTATTCTTGTCTTTATTGAAAAGAGACACATTACAGTAGAAGACTCTGTATTAAGTAAAATTTTTCAACAACGGTACTGTACAGCCAACAAAAAGTCAATAACAATAATAATAATAATTAGAATAACAATAAGGACAATAATGTGTCTGGATGATAAATCATAACAATAAGAAGAAAACATGGACTGAAGAGGTCAGAGAAAAATATACAAAAACGAAGGTTCGAGGGGGGCGGAGTCTTTCCCACAGGGTGCGTTTATAAATAATGTAGAGGACAGCTGTGGCGGGTGGGGCTTAGGGGGGTAAAGGCTACAAGAGGTAACACAACCAGACAAACCAAACATTAAACCATACTGAGTCGTTTTGTTTCTTGTTGTTTGAAGTCTATGTACAGATGAGGTGGCGCCGGCGAGCGGACCGGGTTTATGTACAAGCAGGCAGCTTCATGTCTGTGCGAACGCCGCCAGAAAAACATACTGCGCCACTAAGCTGCAACCGGAGCTTCACAGGACGCCGCTGAGCATTTTACCACTTCTTATGTCCGGTTTGGTGTCGAGGAACGGGTTCACGTGACGAGTACAGTTCGATTGCAAGTTGCAAATTACCATGCTGGCTGCAGTTAGCTTCAGTGACAGATGACTCAGCAGTTTCTGTGAATACAAACAGTTAAAAGCGGATATCGCAGAGCTTTCTACGCTGCGACGAGATCAGATAAATATGGATTCCAGAGGGGCTCGAACCTTTGAAGCTGGTTAAACTCACGAATCAGTTCAGAGGAAACTGTAATGCAAAAACAAAGAAAAACAAAGCTAACAATGCTAACTGATCGCTAGCGGTCGCTGTAGATTCACAGGATGTTTCTGTTCCTTGAACATTTTCCAATTTTCTCAGAGGGAAAAACAAGACTCAACGGACTTAAGCTACAAGTAACAATAGTTTGTTTGCAAGCTGTATTTGCTTCGAGGACAGATGATTCAGCATATTCGGCTATAAAACGTTAAAATAAGCTTTAAATAAACAGACTTTAGATTTCAGAGTGGCTTAAAGTCGCAAAACACATCGAGCACAAATTAGCAACAAGGTGACTCATGAATTTAGCAAATGTGCTTCTTCACGATCAACTGATCACTAACTGCATGTAAAGTGACTCAATGTTGCCAATTAAAACCAAACTTATCCTGCTATAGTAAACCTAAATAAAGACATTTTCCATTAATTTCCCAACTTTTCATGCTGGATTTAGTCTCAGAATGAAAAGACATGTTAGCATTTCCACAAACCCCTCGACAGACTATTTTGGTGCTTACAATCATTTACGAGCAGGTGTTACTGAGCTTTCTCTGCTCACACGAATGGGAATTCCCAACTTGCTCACAATTTAGATGCTTTTCAAAATAAGAGCACAAATCAGTTTAGAGGAAACCGCCAGAAGCCGCCACCACTTAGAGAAAAAAGCAAATGACAGTTCGTGCCAATAAAAGAAAAGAGAAAAGAGCTGTAGTGGAAAGTGTTAAGACGGACTGAATCAGATTTAGTGCATTTCTGTCATAAATAAAAGGATGTCTTATTCTTATATAAAAACATAAAATCAAACACTTTGAAAACACAAGTTGCGGTCGAACCCCTTCATTTAGTATTTACGGGAGATCGAACGGCATCTTTGAGATGACAGGAAAAGGAAACGGGGCCGTGGCACGTACAGTAACAAGGTTGGACGACAAAAGGAACTTAAAGGCAGGCATGTAAGAAAAAAGGCATAAGGAGGAAAATTTTGAGTTCATGTTTTTCTTTTAGCTCTTTCTTACATTTCTACAAACAGGCAGAGTGTTTGTGGTTTGATAGTAATATTGCAGCAATGTCAGCGTATGAAGTTACGTCATTGATTGATGCGTTTATGAATATTGCTTGGATACACAGTCTGGTTGAGAGCTGCTCCTCAACCTCCGCAGCAACGTTTAAGATTTGAAACAGTAAAGAGAGCAAAGAGACGAGCAGTCGATGCTCCGCATAGTGTTGAAGGTAAAAGTCATCAAGCACAAACATCGACATTAAGCAGATTCTTTTCCGAAGATCCTGATCAGTTAGCGTTCAGTCGACATGTTTCACATTCAGCTACCGAAAGAAATCAACGTGCAGTCAAATCTACGCCGACGACACCAGAGTGTTTTCACAATTTTTGTCTACATGTGACGAGACCTCAAATGAACCTTACGAAGTGTAATGGTTCTTTACAAGTGGATCTTTAGACCAGTAGTTCCCAACCTTTGCGGTTTGTGACTCCCTTAAGCTCAAACCTCCTACATCCATGTAGCTTTGAAGGACTTAAATCTCGCCTTTACCCATATCTAGACCAAGTCCAGGTTATTTTCCTGGACTAAATGAGGCAGCAGTATGAGGTCTTGATTTGCTTTCTAGCCCACTTGCACTGCTGTAGTACTCGAGTCCGGACTCGTCCACTGGTCTTGCCTAATATTCCAGTTAGTCTGAACTCCAACAACATGTGTTGTTTTTCTGAAGTAACTTCCTCCTTCAAAACAAAAACACTGACAAAGCGCACTTGTTCTGGTTTAATTCAAAATCCATCTAGAACAGGCGCTGTGACTGGCACTTGCAATCGTTGGCAATGGCAAAAGTATCGACTCTATGTCCCTCATTTGGAGTTGGTCTTGACTTAACGACCCCTTTTCCACGAAATTTGCTCTGGTTCTTCAACTGGTTCCATTCAAGATTCTTAGCAGCTTGGTTGGTGCTTGAACCTAAACGGAGCTGGTTTTCTGTTGGTGGAAAAGGTTAAGACTTAGATTTTCCGTGAACTCGACAAAGGTGGTCTTGACTACAGTGCTTCCCACTCTGTCCCATCTCTTGTATACATTTGGACTCAGTCTAGACTTGTTCTCAAACTAGACTTAAGTGGTCTTTCTACAGCCCTTAATGTAAATTATTATTCTTTTATCGATTTCTCATCCTGTAAACCTTCTTCTGACCCTTCAGACTAGAACTGCAGCTCAACAAACACCTCCAGGCTGGGAACCACTGGTTTAGACGCTTGGCTTACCCGCAAAAGTTGAACTTCTTGCCCTGGACGGATCGGCGCAACACTGAGCCGCGACATTCAGTTCGCCAGGATGTTTGTTCCCCACACAAACACACTTTAGCGTAAATTACTTCCACTCTGCAACCTGACATACCGGCGAACAGCAAGTACTTCCTGTGTTCTCTAATTTACACGATGTTGCCGTTGAAAGAGAGAAAGTGACAGAGAAAGAGAGCATTATTTACAACAAGGAGGTTTTCAGACCAGAGACGAGGAAGAAGCCCTTCTTAGTGATTCGCTGAGCAGATCAGGGAGACTGTCTGATTGGACGGGACAGACGAAAGACTAAAAGATGGGACTGGAGGGAACTTGTGAGCTCATTCAGATAACATTATAGACACATTTTTATACACAGAAACATGAAACTATGAACTTGTACGTTATTTATATCCGGTTATCTTAACAGACTAATTTAAGATTTAGAGTTTCTAACAAACAGCTCGTCTCCTCCCGTCAACCATCTCGTCACCAATTTTGTCAGATCTGACAGCAGATTGCATGAACTGAACTCACAGATTCACAGAACAAAAACACCTGAACAACGAGAAGAAGCAGATAAATTCCCTTTTCGCTCCGTGTGGCTGTTAGCTGCTTTCTTCCCTTTTCCATTTTTTACACGTTAAAGCAATAAAATTCACTTCAGGGACACTTTAAATTAAATGTTATTTGACCGGGACGTAGGCTCAGGTTTAAGATGCTCACAATACAGTCAGTTCAGATAATGGACTTTTCTATTGCCATAAAATACACCCCCACCTTTTTGGGATTGTTGCAAACTAAATTGTCTGATTTTATGGCAGCCCTTCTAAAAAATTGCGGTTTATGAAATTGCGTGAGAAAGTCTGTTTGGATTGGTCCATGTGACGTCACCAGAAAGACCAACTAGGAACAAGGAAGTCAGTTTGGTGACGTACAGCTCAACGTTTTCTCACATAATTCGCGTGGATTGGTTAAATGTGCATTAAAGGTCCAGTGTATAGGATTTAGTGGCATCTAGCAGTGTAGTTACAGATTACAGCACACTCGCTTCACCTTCCCTTTCCAAACACGAGGGAGAAACTGCGGTGGAGAAAACGTTCATGGTGGTTCAACATGGCGCCCACTGCTAAAGGTAACAAAAACACAACAATTCTTATATTCAGGTGATTATAATAAAAACACATTTATGATTATTATATTACATTTCTGACAACAGAGCCTCCTAAATGTTACACACTGGACCCTTTAATTGTTTGTGACTTCCTGGATGGAACAGTTAGGGCTGCTATGAATAATTTGCTGACCTAAAGTAACTCATTTTCGTTTATTATCAATAAAATAATCTGAATGCAATATAGTTAAAGTGAACCATCTAGCCAGATGTTCAACCGTCCAGTTAGCCCAAGATTTCAGCTCAGAAGTCCAGAATCTTTCAGGTGTAAGCTGCAAACAAACATGTCTAGCAGCATCGACCATTTTCATATCTTGATTTATTGGTTCCAGCCCTCAATATTTATATCATTATATTTATCTTCTGGACTTCCCGCTCTTAGAAGGCTGATTATCTTTGAGTTTTGGGCTGTTGGCCGGCCAAAATGAGCAATTTCACACAAAAATGTGTCTATGGGTTGAGAAATAAATCTACAGATTGTTCGAAAATGAAAAAAATTAGTTGTTGCCCTAAAAACATTACGTGTTGTTATACTTACGGTTATCGAGAGAAGACGATATATCATAAGATGTATTCAACATCTTATCGTCCAACCCGAGATGTTTTAAATTCTGAGTGAGTTGGAAGCAACTTAAACCTGGGTTTAAGGACTCTGGGAAAAGACGACGGGGCGTTTATGATCGACAGTCTCCGGTCCCTGAGCCTGGCAAGAGCTTCTGTACACTTAATGACTTTATACACCCGAAAACAAACAGAAACAATCCCATTCCCCATGTTGACATTGTTAACGATTGGTCCAGCAATGCACATCTAGATACAATATACACAATCCAGGAAGAATGCTTTAAATTAAAATAGAAAAAGTGTCTAGGACATGCGATCTATCACACTTCTGTTTACCTCTAAGAACTGATCTGATATCTTTTTTTTTCATCTTAAAAGTTTTACATCGAGATATTTTTCACATAAAAAAACCAACAACAAAAAAAACTTGTAAAAGGCGGGAGAGTTCACAGAATTCATAAAATAAAATGGAGGTGAGAGGAGGTGAAACACTGACGCTGCAGAGAGGGAGTCCTCGACTGAAGGTGATGATGAAGATGAAGGTGATGATGATGATGATGTGCTTCCTCGTAAAGCACCGAGTGTGTGTGGACATGCTACGAAGACTCCCCCTCTCGTTTCCTTCGTGATATCTTCGTCTCACAGTTTTCTTCGTTAGGTTATGACGATATGTTTTTTTTTGGCGAGACGATGGCGTTTAAAAGTTTGAGCGGGAACTTCTCATGTAGTGTTAAATTATAGTTGATGAGGTATGACGTCCCTAGAGCTTCAGACTGGCCGCCATTGGCTGTCACGAGTCGTGGCTATTTCCCAGAATGCTCCGACGAGCCAGCGACGACAGAACACATTTCCCACCATGCCTTTTTCCTGTTGAGGGTTCCCGCAGACAGACACACGGACGCAGCGTCACCGCCAGTTCTAAATCAGTCGTAACGAGCTGACGGCGGCGGTTGTCAGGTGAGGTGGGCGGGGCTTAAAGTCACACAACAGGTAGTGGTTCCCAAAATGAACGGTCAGGATTCTCCCAAATCGGGGTTTGTTTGTTTTGTTCGTCATATGAGTGCGGCGCTCCCGGTGCTGCTGCAGCTGTTGTTGCGGTTGGTGTTGCGGCGTGACAGGTTGGGCGTGGCCATGAGCGGGTAGCGCTCGTCAGGGCAGCCGTACTGAGCCAGCGTGTCCACGCACTCCTGGCTGCTGGCCTGCCGGGCGTAAGCCATCGCGCTGTTGCCGTGGGCGTCCCTCGCCATCAGATCCACGCCGTACTGAGAGAAAGAGAGAATTAATGATGGTTAATTAATCATTTACATTATTTATCTCATTCTCTGGTTGCAGCTCATCAAACGAGAGGATTTAAGACGGTTGGTCGGACAAAAAGAAAACGTTCGATAGTGAAGTTACGTTAGTTTATGGATTCTAATCTGCTCTTATTGTATTTTATTATTCACTATTTTTTATATTTAAATTCAAAGCAATTTGTTAAAGTTTTAAAGTTTATTTGCTATATAAATAAAGTTATTATTATTACTTATATACTCATATGACTTCCTGTCAATGACTCAAACTTCCTGCACAGATGTTTCAAATTAAAAGCCTGTCAAGCCATTCGAGCATCTGAAAGGTTTGACATACAATTTAAGAATAAAACTTGAAAAAATACCAAATTAAAAGAATATTTTACAGAATTTCTATAAATGGGTTTCTCTAGTGATACTCTATGACGTCTCTTACCCAGATGAGGAGCTGCGTGATGACCACGTTGCCCTTGCGGCTGGCCAGGTGCAGCGCGTTGCGTCCGTCTCCTTCCCCGCAGGTCTCGTTGACCTGCTGTCGGGCTCCATGGGCGAGCAGCAGGACGACGGTGCGGAGGTCCTCCTCGGCCGTCGACCTCAGCAGCTGCTGGCCCAGCGACAGGTCGGTGCCAGGCAGCGACGCCAGGAACAGACGCTGCTCGTACTTCGCCCGGATCCAGCGCTCCCTCTCCTCCCTGACAGACAAAACACAAGGATGGAGAGACGTTTAATACTGACATTCCTACAAAATAAAACTTTTTAAAAACCTGACCCATACAAATGATGAAAATCTTACATTCTTTTGTCTGGAAATGCAGCTGAAACCATAAATTGATCAACAGAATTATAATCTACAACTATTATTTTAGTCATTTATTGAGGAAGAAAACATGAAAAAGCTCCATATTCACAGGATTTGCTGCTTTTGTTTGACCTACATCATTTAAAGGTGAATATATTTGAGTTTCTGACTTTTTGGTTGAACAAATCAAGACATCTGAAGACTAAAATGTGAAATTTTAAAACCATTTTTTTTTTTTTTTTTACATTTTATGCACTAATGTTTGATGAAAATAATCATTAGTTGAAGCTCTACAGGAATTACAACCTGAAACTTAAAGGCCTTTTAAATGTGGGCGAATATGAATCCAGGACTTCCTCCTCTCTCTGATCTGTGACCAGCTGCTGTTTCTGTCCAACGTGCTCCTCAAACTGCCCTCCCAGTGTAAAATAAGACACAGCAGAGGGACGGAGGGACAGACGGGGTGAACACATTGTTCACCAATCGAGTGTCATTAACTGCTGATCTGTCTAATCCACGGCTCCGATCGCTCTAATCTCCGCACAAATCCCTCCGTGTAAACAGCAGCTCATTCAACACCGCTGGGATTAGTCCGGGCTCAGGAGAGGGACGGGAGGATGGCCCCGAGGGGGGGG